ACTCTAATGAGAGCAGTTTCAGTACTATGATACGGTTTAAATCCTGACTGGAAATCCTCACAGATACCATTTTTCTCTATGAAGGAATATAATTGTGAGGATATTACCTTTTCTAGTATCTTTGACAGAAAAGGGAGATTTGAGATTGTCTGTAATTAACTAGATCTTTGGGGTCAAGTTGTGGTTTTTTAATGAGATGCTTAATAATAGCCAGTTTGAAGGTTTTGGGGACATATCCTAATGACATTAATAATAGTCATAAGAGGATCTATGACTTCTGGAAGCACCTCTTTTAGGAGCTTAGATGGAATAGGGTCTATCATACATGTTGTTGGTTTAGATGATACAATTTTATATTTTAAGTTTATAAAATTCTTCCTCTCCTATAGTAGAGAATGAGTGGAATTGTTCCTCATGGGATCTATAGTGCACTGTCTGATGTGATACTGTAGCTGATGGCTGCATGGTTACAATTTTATCTCTAATAGTATCGATCTTGGAATTAAAGTAGTTCATAAAGTCATTACTGCTGTGCTGCTGGGAAATGTTAACGCATGTTGGTGCTTTATTTTTCGTTAATTTAGCCACTGTATTGAATACATACCTGGACTTATGTTTGTTTTCCTTAATCTTCCTTAAGTGTAAAGGAGGAACCGTATTAAAAATGCTAGAAAAGAGAGAGTCCATAGTTTCTGTTACATCATCAAGTTTTTCTGAGCTATTGGATATGCCGAGGAGTCTGCATTAGAGCCCACTCTAACCCCTGAATTGCCATTGGAACCCACTCAAACCCCTGCATTGGCATCAGAGGTTCAAGAGTAGAGAATGAGTGGAATTGTTCCTCATGGGATCTATAGTGCACTGTCTGATGTGATACTGTAGCTGATGGCTGCATGGTTACAATTTTATCTCTAATAGTATCGATCTTGGAATTAAAGTAGTTCATAAAGTCATTACTGCTGTGCTGCTGGGAAATGTTAACACATGTTGGTGCTTTATTTTTCGTTAATTTAGCCACTGTATTGAATACATACCTGGACTTATGTTTGTTTTCCTTAATCTTCCTTAAGTGTAAAGGAGCAACCGTATTAAAATGCTAGAAAAGAGAGAGTCCATAGTTTCTGTTACATCATCAAGTTTTTCTGAGCTATTGGATATGCCGAGGAGTCTGCATTAGAGCCCACTCTAACCCCTGAATTGCCATTGGAACCCACTCAAACCCCTGCATTGGCATCAGAGGTTCAAGGTTCAAAGTTAATTTATTTATAAAGCACATTTACAAACAGCCACAAGACTGACCAAAGTGCTTTACATAAAAAATCTAACCATAAACACATAAAACAGGAAGAATAAAACATATAAATTTAAAAGACCAAAAAGAATGACAGATAAGCATTCTGAAGACAGAGTAATAATCAAGACCATAATACAATGTAATGAGAAAGGGATATTAGTAGGCCAGATTGAACAAGTGTGTTTTTAAAAGGGACTTGAAAATAGATAGGGATGGTGCCACTCTAATCTGTAACGGCAGATTGTTCCATAACCGAGGCCCAGCAACAGTAAAAGCTCAATCCCCTCTACGTTTAAGTCTGGACTGAGGAACTAAAAGGAGATTCTGATCACTGGATCTTAGACTTCTAGTGGGTGTATAAAAATACAACAGCTCTTAAAGAGAACTAGGGGCTTGATTATGTAAAGATTTATACACCAGTAAGAGAATTTTAAAATCGATTCTAAATTGAATAGGCAGCCAGTGGATGGCCCTCAGTATAGGGGTGATGGCGTCACATTTGCGACTATTTTGAAGAAATCTATAGCTGCAGGATTTTGGATCAATTGTAGTCGGGTAATTTGTGACTTTGAAATATCACAATATAATGAGTTGCAGTAATCTAAGCGTGAAGTGATAAAAGTGTGGACAGCCATCTCTAAAGTTGTAACATTTAAAAAGTGTTTGATTTTTGACAGCAAACGGAGTTGATAAAAACTGGAACCAATTACAGAAGAGAAATGTTTATCCAATTTTAATGACTCATCAAAATGGACTCCCAGATTTCGCACACGAGAAGATCTGAAGACCGATAAGCTGCCCAGATCTGGGCTGTGTTTCCCGAAACCTTCTTAACGCTACTTCGTTCGTAAGTTATACATAAGTCAATTAGTGTTCAATTAATTGAAGTGTTTTTATGCAAAGAATAAAACTGTCATAAAACTGTCTGTCATTTTCCATTATAATATACAAAGGCACATCGGCTGGCAAAATATTAGGCAGCACATAATTAGGAGTCTATTTAAAGGGAATGAATGTGATGGGGAGTTTGGTCAGTGAGACAGCAAATAGTTGTCCTAAATTAAAGACGGCTGCCGCGGAGCCAGTTAGTGTATGTGCACTATTTCATAATAGTGTCAGAATAGCTACCATGTCAAAAGATACAATTCTACAAAAATGTTGCCTGCCACAGGAGCAAATTCAGCAGCTTTTACATCTTGTTGGTCCAACTTTGTCAAGACAAACTCTACGGAGCTACCCCCTAAGCCCCGAAATTCAGCTGCTGGCAGCTTTCCGTTGCTGTGGGGAGTTTTCTGGAGGTGGTTGGGGATGGCTATGGGCTGAGTAAGACCTGGGTGTGGCGGTGCGTTCACACAGTCACAAACATCCTGCTCCGTCACGCCACCAATTACATAGCCTACATATGCCTTTCACCAGGCACGAAGTGATGGAGGCACATCAAGGCTTCCATGCCATTGTGTGTGTCCCGTCAGTAATTGGCCTTGTGGACAGAACACTTATCCACATCGCCAACCCTTCAGCGCTCGACCAGGCCTTCATAATATATATGAACATGAGAATATAAATGACCCTTTCAAAATCAAGCGAAGCCAAACAACCAGTTAATGTAGCTGGTTAAGGCAGAATACTTTTGGCCGTGAGGTTGCAGGCTCGAACTTGCAAATTTATACATACACACACACACACACATACTGTATATATATATATATATGATATCCAAGGTTGCATTTAGTTTGAAATTTGGATTATTTTATAAATGCAGTGAGCCCCGATAAATGCAATTTCTAATATTTCTAAAGTGCTTCTTTATAACGAACATCACTTTCTCAATACTTTACCCGCTCTATAACGCAGTGAAATAACTCCTGTAGTGAACAATCGATTCTAGAGCCATCGATATCAACCTAATCAGCACCACTGCCATGGACAGCACATGCTAACGTCGCACGTAAGAAGGTTTACCTTAAGCAACATCCATAGTTCGGGGAACACACCTAGGAAAGGTATACCCCTAGTTAAGGTGTATCTTTAGAGTCTTCGTAGCGCACTAAGAGACACTGTTATCTGGAAACGCAGCCCTGGATTGGTAGCCTGAGAATGATCAGTAGGACTGAAAACAATCACTTCAGCTTTATCTTCATTTAAAGTTAAACATTTTTGTGCTAGCCAAATTATTTACTTGTCTAAGCACCTTACTAAAGTACAAAGTGCTAAAGGATAATTTCTCTTAATACTGTAGGTAAATAAGTCTGGGTATCGTCAGTGTAAAAATGAAAAGACACCCCATGCCTTTTTAGAATGGAACCCAGAGGAAGCATGTACAGGGAAAAAAAGGGAGGACATCAATATCGAGTCTTGAGGGAGGCCGCAGGTGAGATGAGCAACGGAGGAAGAGAAGTTACCTATTCTGTCTGATAATAATGATTCCACTTAAGGATCGTACCTTTTAATCTGACTCTAATCTAGATATCAGAATAGAGTGGTCCACAGTATCAAAAGCTGCTGATAAATCTAAAAGAACCAGGACCACAGACTCACCAGAGTCGGTAGCTAAAAGGATATCGTTTAACACTCTGAGAAGGGCCACTTCAGTACTATGAGCAGATATGAAACCAGATTGACCTGTGAGGTAATTCTAAATTGCCTATAGTCCTTGAGTCAGTACAATAATTCCTCCCAGACCGGGAGTCTGCTCGAGATTACAATCCACTCCAGTGTCGGCTCCAGCCCCTGAGTCTGCTCCAGTGTCAGCTTCAGCCCCTGAGTCCGTTCCAGTGCCGGCTCCAGTGCCTGAGTCCGCTCCAGTGCAGGCATAAGCCCCTGAGCAGAGTCCAGTGCAGGCTCTTGCCTCAGAGCTCAGCCCAGTGCCCACTATCGTCCCAGAGCTCCGCCCTGAGATCCCTTTACCACTCTCCCTGTTATGGCGATGACCATAATGTGTGACTGGGCCACACACTGTTCTCCTTCTCCTATTGAAATGGAGGTCGTGTCCAAGTCTTCTGTATTTCCAGATACGAGCAGGGAGGTCATTTCCCAGTCTTCTGTTTGTCCAAATACGACCATGGAGGTTGTTTCCCAGTCTTCTGTCCATCCTGATACGACCATGGAGGTTGTTTCCAAGTCTTCGGTCTATCCAGATATGACTAAGAAGGTCATTCCCGAAGTTCCCGTTTGCCCTTATGTAGCCACGGAGGCTTCTCCGTGTTCCCTCATCTTCTCTCTGCTGACCCTCCAGACGCCCATCTTTCAGCCAGCCCTCCAGTCGGCATCAAGTCAGCCGTTTCTTCCATTCTCCATTAATCAGTGTCCCTTCCTCCCTGGAACTTCAACTCCTCCCAATCTTCTAATATCTGCCTGCAAAGATAAGAGACATTGTTCATTTTCATTTCACAGCTGATTTAAAGGAGTTTGTGGTGAGACTCACCTTTCTGGACTGTCTATGCCACTCTTCATCTGTTACGGTTACTGTTGTATATATATTTAACCAACACCAATGAGCACTAGCGTGTAAATAAACCAGTTAACTCACCTTTACTCATATGTGCCTTTGAGTCTGTATTTTATGACATATTGAAGATAAATCTCTAAAAATAATTTCTTACAAGACCTAATGCTATTCCTACAAGACACATTCTAAGAAATTAGTATTAGGTTTTTTTGCATTGCAATAAAACTTTTTTTTTTTGTTACTCTTCTTTCATGCCAGGGAAGCCCATTGTTCCTGCAGTCTTCTAAGAACGTGTCTGTCAACATCCTCAATGAGAAGAAGCAATTAGTATCTCAACTCATTGCAGGTGAGTGCACAAATACCAACACTCTTAGGGTAAGATTTGTTTAAAACCCTCATGCAACCTCTTTGTGATAATTACAATTGTCTTGCTCAACACAATTAGGCAGACTATAAATTGGAATGAAGATTTCTCTACCCATCAGTGGGTGTTTTTTATTAGAGTAGATAGCATGAAATGAAATATTCATTGAGCTCAAGTGGCGACTATGGGCCAGTACACTCACAGAAGGAAAATTAATCCAGGCAGCTAATGTTAGACTTTATAGGACAGATGGTTAAATTACTACTTTGAAAGAGTTAAAGGGTTCTTTGATAGCCAGGTTGTTAGTCTCATCTCTCTCATGGTCTCATTTCCTTTATAGCTGTGACTAGAGACTTCATTACAGCGCAGTAATTGCATGTGCATGGATGCATGTACTATTAAGTCCTAGTTAATAGTGTTCTAGCAAGGCCATATTTTAATTAAAGTAATTTTGCTTAAAGGGGTCATTTTATGTGGTTTAATGTTTGTGTTTATGCAGTTTAAGGTTAAAAAAAAACATTATTTTCCACACAATTTACATTATTGTTACTCCTCTATGCCCCGCCTTTCTGAAACGCGTCGATTTTTACAAAGCTCATCGTTCTGAAAAGCGAGGTGTACGCTGATTGCCGAGCTATCCTGTGCGTTGTGATTGGCTGAATACCTCAAGCGTGTGACGGAAATGTTACGCCCCTTACCATACTGTGATGCCGTCTCCCGGCACGACGAGACAAAACTAATAAAACCCATTACAAATTAGGCATTTGTTGCTTCCAGTGGGGACATAATTACTGATTATAATGACTTATACTGTCTTTTTACGCGTTGCGTATCGCGCT